TTAAAGTTTTCTTCTTTGCCATATAATAAACATCTTATTAACCGAGCTAAGTCGGTCTGTATGGGAGAATCTTGACCTCGGTCGTGTGTACAGACCGAATGCAGTGAGTTCTGTACTCACGATCTCGGTCAAGATTCTCCTATACAGACCTCCAGCTCGGTTAATAAGAGCTAATAGTATACTGCTCAGTGGTGATTGGTAGTCTGATACACGGGTTCGGCGCTGGTAACTATCCCATGATCATGACAGAGCGTGTCGAGGCTCGATAGAGTTAAAGTTCATATGGTTTGCAAACAAATAAAAGGTACATGTACAGTATGGTGAAAGCTGAAAGAGAAGACTTTGAAAACATTAGGACGATACTGTGTACGGGTGAAATGCAGTCACACAGTAGTTAGTGACTGTGGTTAATTGCTTCTAAGTGAAAAAGCGAATCAAGCCACTACGTGATGTTGTTACCCTGACGCTAACTTAAGAGTGAACTTGAAAGGGACACCAACACGAATATTAGCCAGCATTTTTGGTCAAAACAGCGCTAAAATTGTGAGTGAGTACTTACGTTGACCGTGTTCAAAATGCTCCTGTAAAGCCAAGATGAGGATACTAGTCAGTGAAAGGTTGAAGAAAGAGCAAATTGTAGTTAGGCTCTAATTTCAATAAGAAGGAATTTATTTTAAGAAAGGACGCAGAACACTAATCTATGGAAGGATAGAAAATTGAAGGTAAGAAAATGCAGTTCGGCGCAAAGTTCTGCTGAATTACATGGAAAGGACAGTATCAGAAAAGCTCTGATGTCCTCCAGCGCCATTAACGATAAATAATCGATAGTTCTCTCACGCAAAAAATTCAGCTACAAGGTACCAGTTTTTAATTTGATGTTTAACTAGAAAGAAATCTGTCACACCTGAAAATCAACTTCAATCTAATAAACAGAGACCATAGGGAACGAAAAGTATGCCGACCCCCGAGGAAACAACATCACAGAGCTATAAGCCAGCCGGTTGTCATTTTTTGGTACAAATTTACATTTTTCCTATGGATTTAATCAATACAAAGACAGTTTCTATCACTTCCTCGTTTGTCGAAGGCAACGTGCAATTTTATATAAAGTTGTTATTTGTGGTGTTGCATTTTACAGTTAGAATGCACTTGGGAATGCAAAAAACAATAATACCAGCACAACTGTTGCTTCTTATATTTCCTGAAGAAATACTTACATCCCATGTACTTGAGGCAAAAAAATTTAAGATTTGATTCGAGTTTTTTATTGTCTAATTCTCCATTGATACATTTTTATAATTATCAAACACCATATGTTGCTTTCTTTGAATGTTTTAAAAATTCATAAAAAGGAAGATACCAGANGTAATCGATAATTCTCTCATGCAAAAATTCAGCTACAAGGTACCAGTTTTTAATTTAATGTTTAACTAGAAAGAAATCTGTCACACCTAAAAAACAACTTCAATCTAATAAACAGAGATCGTAGCGAACACGAGCGAAAAGTATGCGGACCCCCGAGGAAACAACATCACAGAGCTAAGCCAAGCAGTTGTCACTCTTTTGTACAAATTTACATTTTTGCTATGGATTTAATCAATGCAAAGACCGTTTCTATCACTTCCTCGTTTGTCGAAAGCAAGGTGCAATTTTATATAAAGTTGTTATTTGCGGTGTTGCATTTTACAGTTAGAATGCACTTGGGAATGCAAAAAAACAATTACCAGCACAACTGCTGCTTCTTATATTTCCTGAAGAAATACTTGCATCCCATGCACTTTAAGGCAAAAAAATTAAGATTCGATTCGAGTTTTTTATTGTCTAATTCTCCATTGATACATTTGTATAATTATCAAACACCATATGTTGCTTTCTTTGAATGTTTTAAAAATTCATAAAAAGGAAGATACCAGAGTGTCCAGTTTATCCTGGTGTCTGTTTTAAGCAAGCTCTTAGAAAACACACAGGGACACATTTGTATAATTATCAAACATCATATGCTGGTTTCTTTAAATGTTTTCAAAATTTCGTAAAAAGGAAGATACCAGAGTGTCCAGCTTATCTGCTGGGGTGTCTGTTTTAAGAAAGCTCTTAGAAAACTATAGTATACTGCTCAGTGGTGATTGGTAGTCTGATACACGGGTTCGGCGCTGGTAACTATCCCATGATCATGACAGAGCGTGTCGAGGCTCGATAGAGTTAAAGTTCATATGGTTTGCAAACAAATAAAAGGTACATGTACAGTATGGTGAAAGCTGAAAGAGAAGACTTTGAAAACATTAGGACGATACTGTGTACGGGTGAAATGCAGTCACACAGTAGTTAGTGACTGTGGTTAATTGCTTCTAAGTGAAAAAGCGAATCAAGCCACTACGTGATGTTGTTACCCTGACGCTAACTTAAGAGTGAACTTGAAAGGGACACCAACACGAATATTAGCCAGCATTTTTGGTCAAAACAGCGCTAAAATTGTGAGTGAGTACTTACGTTGACCGTGTTCAAAATGCTCCTGTAAAGCCAAGATGAGGATACTAGTCAGTGAAAGGTTGAAGAAAGAGCAAATTGTAGTTAGGCTCTAATTTCAATAAGAAGGAATTTATTTTTAGAAAGGACGCAGAACACTAATCTTTGGAACAATCTGTTATTGACCTACGTCACGGTTATTTCGGGTAGCCAACACCCCTATCATTTTTGTTTTTAATTTACAGTATTGTAATAACGCTGGGTTGAAATAAAAGTTTTTGTTGTTGTTGTTGTCGTAGTAATAGTAGTAGTATCGATAAACATGGCAATAAGTTTCTTCTTGTAAGAGATCTGATCTTTGGAGAAATACTAGCTTTATTTCATTATGTTAAACAATATATGTTACATGTAGTATTTCTTTTAATATACATTTTTGGACAAAAAACAAGTAAAAATAAAAACCAATATGCTAATATTTACAAAATAACACAGGTTAGCCTAATCGTCATCCCTGCATGTGTTTCGTCGACCATGGTTGGCTAAACAAGTGAAACCGTTTACATAATCACATAATTCTTTAATATCACATATTTAGGTGAAAGGTTTCTCCTACCCCCATTTGAGATTGTTCATTTTGTTTGTGTTTTATTGTTGTCTGCACAACCAAAGAGATCATTTTTGTCATAATAAATACATACAATGGTCACATATTCAATTGTAAGGCAAATCCCAAAGGTCTCTCTGAAGCAGATAGAGAATTCCCTCCATTCTCAGCATTGATCACGGGTGTCACGCAGGCAGCATAGCTTACTAAATTATGGATGATGTGAAGTTTATATGAAATAATTCATATATGAACTGCGGTTGTAGATGAAAGTGAAGAATGATCATCGCAGTAAATTTTCCAATNAACGGGATCCCGTTGAAGCCCTGATTTTTTTCAGGCTTCTTCTTTCCAATTGCTTAAATTGGAAAATTTACTGCGATGATCATTCTTCACTTTCACCTTTAAATTATGGATGTCACGCTCTGTGTGTCAATACTTATAAGTCGCAAGAAGTTTGCCTTTTATCCATTCTCCTGATGTGATTGGTGGATACTTATTGGAGCCATCCAAACACGTGATAAGGGCACTGGGATCTGGATCAACAAAAAACACCAAAGAGCGGCGAGGAGCACGGCGTTTGATTTCTGTTTCAGGTATCAACACACGGTGGACCTGACAAAAGAAACGAAAAAAACGCTGTTACAGACATTCATCTGTTCTGCTATCAAGATATTATTATTGTTTACACTAGATGAAATAATGATTGAAGGAAAAATATTTAACCTACGCTATAAGCAGTAATCTTTAAGTGATTTGTACATTTAGCGCTTAATTTACCGATCTTCAGGTAAATAATTAAACACCATCTGAAAGTTCAAAAAGGCAAGAAATTCTCTTATAATGGGTTAATGCGTCAAACCCAGAAATATTAATACTAAGCACATGTAGAGCGATCTTTCAGGCAAAGATATTTTTTTTCTATTTTCAACATACTGTAGACTTCAGTTTGTCACTTGTCCATCTCTGCATCAAATCTGCAATATTCACCAGTATTGTTCCCTTGATGGGTGTGGCAGGTACAAACTGTCCATTACATTTTATGTTGGAAACCTTCAGAAACAAAAACGTGTCACAGATAATTATAGATTTAAACTTAACTATACAATATAGTTATTACAACTTTACAAGTAATAATTAAAAAGAAAATACATCTCTAAATATCCCTCAAACCTAATATGTAAATTAAGATCTCTAACATCCAGAGTCAAAGAGGTCCATCTATTGAGTCCTCTACCATATAACTTTAGAGTTTTGCTCAACCTTATTGGAGAACCAAGAAGAGAACGTTGGTGTATGACAAAATCACCGTAAGTGTATTCCTTTACATGAATATCCCTAACCTCAAGCCCACCAGCATCATCTTGAATCAGCAGTGTAATTCCTCCATAATCTGTATGTTCCCCACAGCGTATCTGGCCTGGTTTGATTTGACTGGGATCTGTTATCATTGGGTAGTAATTATACCTTAACTGAGCACCACCCAAGTGGGTGCCCATCTTTTCATAAGCAAAGGCAAATGAGTTTGGTTCCTGTTTGAAGGAAAAGAGATAGGGTACTAGAATTAGGTGAGTTAAATCTTTGCACATGTACTGTGCAGTACACCCAGTGCACTCAGATATAATCTCATTTTAACCTATGGTCTGGCCTCTATTTTCTCAAACTTAGGATAATAAATGTACTTTAATATTAGAAGTCTACTTTTAGTTATTAATTTCTAGTATATGCCTTTAAAAGATGTCCGTTCTGATCCTAAGGGCCATTTGGATAGTGAACAAGACCATCCATGGTTTTGATCATGTTCAACTTCATTAATACAGCCAAATTTTCAAGGCCCATTGGTGACCGTATAAATGGGGTTCCACTGTAGTAATAATAAAGTTTAGTAACAATAATTATTATAACTTTTAAAAAGTGCCTTGAAACATTCCCGGTTTAAAAAGTGAGAACTGATGTGAAGAACAAAAGACAGCTTACCATTTTCAAACCAATAGCCATAATGGAGAGCACTCTTGCACTAAGGTCCATTAAACACTGATAAATAGAACTCACACTGCTCTGGAAGTTTGGTACATCAGCATTAGGCCATTTCTGCCAATGAAGACATTAATTGCAATTTAGCTACATGTAATACTTCATGTCCAGAGCAATTTCTACTCCACACGGGATAGGATGTTTGTCCATCACTGGGTTAATCCAAGCATTCAATTTACCAGTAGTGCAGCTAGTAGTAAGTAGCAGAGACAAGTAAGAAAAATACTTTTTTTTTCTGTGACTCAACCTAATAAAATTTTTTTCTTGCTTATTTAATATTCATTTTAAGTAGAAATTATTGAAACCACATCATATTATAAGCACAGGCTGTTAATAGAGTGGAAACTCTGGTGCAACCACCTCTCGTAAGCAACCACCCCTCCTCAGTAACCAGTTTTCCAAAATACTAATAGGTTCCAAGTCAAAACACTATATTTGGAACCTCTTGTAGGTGACCACCTCTTGTAAGCGACCGTGAGTGGGAACTGTATTGTTAAAGCAAGAGGAAGAATGAACTTACAAAATTTTCATCATTAACTGCACCCACATCAAATGACTCCTTTAGATCTCCAGGTCTCTCTGGATTAGTGCTGGAAATAATAATATATTATAAAAAGCTTTTGCAATAGGAGTTGTAAAATGTTCATACCCTCCCAATTTGCCAGTATCCATGACAATGATACCAAACTGAAATTATAAGGTAATCATGAGGTGATAAAGTTATTAGAAATTATATAAAGTGACATCTGGACTTGAGCCTGACAATTATTAAAAAGTCCCAGAAACTGAAGATGCACAGACCCAAGACACCCCTCCCCTAAAGAATCCGTCCAACACCAATCTTACTGATATGGTGGGTATAACCATTGACAATTCATGTTATGTACAAACTGATGTCATTTTCACAGACAATCATTTAAAATTAACAGTTCATTGGCTTCAATGGACCATTACAGTGTAAATGCAGAACATGCAGCTCATTATTCTAAAGTCCCCTAAAACCATATCTGGAGTAACATGTAAAAGTAAACCCAATCTAAGTCCTCTTGTGTTCACAGCATTACACCAGCCTATGCAAATCTGTTTGAGACCAGGGCACTTAACAATGAATATCAAACCATCAACAGTTTGTGTTCAGCCTATTATGTTTGCCTAATAATAATAATAATAATAATAATAATAATAATAATAATAATAAAATACTAAAATCTCCTCAGAAAACCTATTTACAAATCTTCACGCATTCCACTATCTTAGACTAAAATTTTGATGAAAATAAAAATATCATGAGATCCTAAAATACTAATTCACAAGCTTGTGCCACCATTGACTTTCTAAAATTAGTGGACACACACCCGGTTAGTATTTAAATGGCAGATTTTCATTATTATCATAATATGATGATGATGATGATGATGATGATAAGAGAAAAAACACTATTCATGTACTAAGGTATATAATAATAATATAATAATATATAATAATAATAATAATGATAATAATAATTATAAATAAACATATTTATGCAGGATGACCATTTCAAAAAAATATATGCTCAGCTTTTATGCTCGAATAAATGCTCAGCTTTTAGTTGATTTTAATTTAACCCTATAAATAACTGATTTATTCTTATTCCTAGTGTCATAATCATGAATATAATCACCGAATATAGTCATGAATATAATCAATGAGAATAGATTGTGTCAATACAAACTGTTAACATGCATGCACCTTTCCCTTTCAAGAGCATCCCAACCATTTGGAGAAGTTCCTTCTTCCTTGGTGTACTTTTGTTTTACATCAAGGCTTAGAGCAAAAAACTTGTCATATGTCTCAAAAACAGTATGGATCTGAAAGGTAATGATATTTAAGCTTAAATGTGAATAAACTGACTCAAAATAAAGTTAAGTATATCAAGGCTTACCTGAGTTACTGAAAATAAAACAATTCTAAGTTAAAGTAAAGACACTGTTTAAAATAATCACTGGAAAATACACGTAACAAATTATGGAAGGCTCTCAGTAAAATACAGTCGAACCTCCACTGATGGCCACCTCTCTACAACGGCCACCTCCCCACAACGGCAAAGGCTACTAAAGCGTATCCCAACTGCCAAAATAACCTCTCCAAAACAGCCAGTTAATCATTCATGGATGAATGGTAGGTATAAAACCTCATCTTTTTATTGGAAAAGGTTACAAAAAGCTTGATCTGTACTGTGCATATTATTGGTCTTGATTTCCATTTGGTTTCTGTGTTATATATAGAGTCAACTCTCCTTAAAGTGGACACCCTCAGGATTGTCATTTTTTGTCCGTAATACCAAGAGTCCGCAATAGGGGGGTGTGATGAAAATGGCCCAAGTTTTGTTGAAAAAGTATCACATATAACATACAGTGAAACCTCTATTAAGCAGACACCCTCGGGACCTTCCTAAGTGGCTGCTTAATAGAGGGTTTCTGCTTAATAAAGGTTTATAACAATTGCACAATGTTTGTTAACAATTAACATTCAACGGTTCCTCTGTACTGTAATAAAGTTCCAGGTTGTTAACGAAGCTATCCAAAGTTCAAGTTCCTCACCTTTCATCGCCAACTTTAATTTGTTTGTAATAATGCCCTTTCCATACAGCAACAACAATACGGGTACTTTTAATCAACTATTTAATCAACTATTTCAAGGACATAGTCCAGTATTGTCAATTCAGTCTGGTGTCCGCTTAATAGAGGTTTTTAGCGATAGAAATTAGCCAAATATAATTTATTTTAGTGTCTGCATCTGCTTAATAGAGGTGTCCGCTGAATAGGAGTTCGTTATAAAGGAAAATATGAGAAGTTAATTTCGGGACCAGGCTAAATATCCGCTTAATAGAGGGTGTCTGCTTAATTGGGGGTCCGCTTAATAGAGCTTACACTGTATACAGGTACACTCTTTACTTTCATGAATATTCATGCAATATAAATCTAGGTCAAAATAGTGTAAAAACTAGTGAGCACTCCAAGACTGCAGAATAATTATATCATTCAATACATCTAAGAAAGGAACAATAAAAGAATTAGCTTGGGACCACGTGATTTGTGCTCGATACTGTAACAACGAGAGTCCGTAATAGCAGGAGTTGTTTTCATACATTTCTTTGTAGCGGAGCCCCATACCTTAGAAAATTTGGGAACCCATCCATCTGAAAAATTTTGGTTGTCATGTGACTGTCCATACCTACGTCCGTCCGTACACCCGTACACCAATACCTTGAAAACTAAGAGAGTAGCACCATTACCATAGCTACATCTTTGATTTTGGGCATCTATGCTATTGTTAATTGACAGCTGTCACAACAAGCTATCCGCTGACCAGTACTACGTGACTATATTGTGGGTTTAGAGCTCATCGAGGTTGCATGTTCTTTTAAAGTTGACCACTGACCAGTTACTGGTGTACCGATTGGATCGTGGGCTCAAGCCACGTTATTTCTCTTAGGGAGAAGGAAGTAAGAAGTACATATTCCTTGTACAATCATCTCTTGGAAAGTCCCTGATATATTGTGTACGTAATTTCTACAATCTTGGTTAGGCTTGTTGAGTATAGTTTGTTAAAATTTAACTAGAAAAAAAAAGCAAAATCACACGCTGAACAATTACATGCTCACAATTGATCGTTGTTTGAATTTCTGATCCAAGAAAAAATAATTCTATTTTTACTTTATCGTCCGTTATTGCAATCAGGAGCTCCGCTTCTAGGCTTGGCTAAATCTATATATTACTTTCATGAAGTTACCTGCACCATTTACCAGGCTCTTTATAATTGGCCAAATGAAACAATTCTACTAGCCCTAAGAACAAAAGAGGTGCAGATTAACAACAACAAATCAAAATAGAGGTTTTAAAGAGGTGCACGTTAACTGTAGCTTCTGTCCTTAATAGCGATCTCCGTATTACTGTATTTTGAATGTTTTACAAATTTTTATGCTACAATAAGCATTTTTTTAAAATTTAATACAAATGTTATACCCCACCCCTCCCCCTTCCATGAATAAACAGGTGCCATATTACAACCCTACCTACCCATAATGGACACCTCTCTATAACGGGTCACTTTCCTCTGTCCTCAAGGTAGTCATTGTGGAGAGGTTCGACTTTATAGAGGTGCTATGATATGGGACAGCATGCCACCTGATTTAGAGGAAACTTAACGCTTAAGTCTTTGCAGATATTTACGGAAAAAATTTAAACTTTTGTATAACAACAAAATAATGACTCTTAGAGGAGTAATAATATCTGTTATAGCTGCTTTCCAGACTTAAATAGTAATGCCACCACATATTATGAGAATGTTGAATAGACCATTTTACAGTTGTCTGCTCAGTGACCTGGCCCTTGGATGGCAGCGAGACTGGAGTTGACCTTGTTTTGATACAGACCTCACTGCTTTTGTCATGTAAATGCACCTAGTTAACATCAGAACAACTTGTTTTACCCAACAAAAGCAGTAAGGTCTGTATCAAAACAAGGTCAACTCCAGCCTCGCTGCCATCCAAAAGCCAGGTCACTGAGCAGAAACTGTAAAATGGTCTATTAAGTTAATTAAGGGTGCGGGGGATTCTCCACGGGAGAGGTGGAATCGTCTCCTGTTACTGTACGAGGTCACTTATTTAAGGACACCGTCAAATATGTGGAAAATAAATAAAGCTGAAGCTTAATTTAGTATAATAAATTGTTCAGCCACATTATACCTTACGACAAAAATATAAATTGACATGACACGTAATAAGCAAGCTTTGTAGGTAACCGGGAAGTAATCACTGAAGTGACCGCTTACCATTTCTTGCGCAATTCCATGGTTCTTGAGATATACAAATCCAATTGTACTAAACGCTTGATACACTTGATCGGCAAGGTCTCTAATGGCTGGATCATCTTCGCTCAAAGGATTCTTGTTTTCCAGACTCATCACGCTGAAGTCCACAACTGGAATACCCTCGACGTCCATCTTTGGCCAAAAGTCTAAAACACGGTTGAGGGGTGAGGAGAGCCTAGCATACGGCAACTGCGCCCGCAGTACGAGCGGCGGTCACTCCCGGCAGCGAGAGAGGGACCGCGAGGATCACTGCGAGGACTGCGCGAGCGTCTCGCAAGATGGTTTCATGGCACGTTAAACTGCCACCTTGGCTGCTCATCGCATTGTACAACAGAGACGTTTCTCCCAAAAGCATTGGAGAGCGCTTGTAACAGGGCCTTTACTTGCGTCTCGTTGAGCCTTTGTCTCCAGGGTGTGAAAATCATGGACTGGCCAAGAGCAGGCCAGGAGTCATTGCTATTGTCAGAATGTTTCGCAAATGGAAGCCAATTCTGACTAGCTGTAGTCATATCTTAGAGCCGTATACTTATTTAAGAGGTCTGAAATGGGGTGGCAATTTTTTTGCTCAGGTCTGAAACAGAGTATGGCAAATCACAGATTTCGGTCTGAAACAGGGTACAGGTTTCAAGGTTCGGAACGCACTCCTCCACAAAAAACTTTGGGGGGTACCCTCCCTCCCCCAGTATCCCACTATCATGATAGAGTGTAGAGAGGCTCAATATATAGTGTAAAAGAAAGTGTAACGTATAAACGTTCTTATTAATAATTGCAAGCATTTTAACAGATTAAGTTAACTTAAAGTGCAAGCTAAGGCATGCCAAAGAGTTTGCTTATGATTAGGATGATGATGTGTACGCGTGATATGTAGTCCCAGGGTCTAGTTAGACATGCTAGTGAGCGGCTGCTGGTTGGTGCAATCTACCAGAAAGACGAATCAAGACTCGATCTGTTGAAATGGTACAGTTGAAGGAGACTTGCTAGAATTGTCGGCCACATTTTATCCTTCTTGTGTTACTTTGTGCTGAAAGCTACAGATGTCTTCGCTGTGGAAGTTGTTGAAAGTAACTGTTTTGCTTGCAGAAGCATAACATTACATGAAATCAACACTGTAGGTGATTAGTTGGCGCCATGGTGTCTAGTTATTGAAGCAGTATATTCTTGTGATTTTGTTCGTTACAATTTATAAATTAAATAACATTGAACAACAAATTCATCATGGAAATCAAATGAAACTTAAAATGTCTTTTTGTGTTTTGCATTTCTAATTGTTTTGAAACGATTACTTTTCATCAATAGTACCATAATACAACGTTGAACCTTTCCCACGAGTCAGTTTCCAATTGGTTTTTCGGCCCTGCGAGCAGAGATTCCTTTCTCTGTCTGCTCAGCAAGAGACGAGAGGAAACCTCTGCTTGCAACCGCGCGATTGTTTGATCAGCCGCCGTACACACCCATGGACAAAATAAGTCTAAAATACTGGTTTTAACAAGTTTTACCGGTTTTTAACCAACACATGACAGTTCGGATCCAAAACGCTCTGCCTTTACGTTAAATTACTCTCAGATAATTAAGTTCAGAATCTTGTTTCACGGTGATCACTTTGGTTCTGTTTCGCGGCGGATGTCCTTGTTAATACGAGCGGACTTTTATCGACCTACAGGTGTAATTCTAACCTATACTAACTCTTAACAACCAGCTTGCGTGCAAGAAAGCGGTCGAATGCCCCTATTGTAATTTTTAACCGATTAGATCTGCTGCCTTGATCGTTCGCTTCAGGCTCACTCCCTTCGACAGCAATACATAAAGTTGAAGTTGAAAAAATTGTTCAGCCACGTTACATGTGTAAACCCGTGTAACTCTTGTCTGTAAGTCGCGTGACAGACAAGCCAGCAAGCTCCAGTTGTAACTCAGCGCCAACCATTTCTTGCGGAATTCCATGGTTCCTGAGATATACAAATCCAATCGTACTAAACGCTTGATACACTTGATCAGCAAGGTCTTTTATGGTTGGATCATCTTCGCATAAAGGATTCTTGTTTTCCAGACTCATCGCACTAAGTCCACAACTGGAATACCGTCGACAGCCATCTTGCACCTAAAGTAGCAATGAATGAGAGCGTACCCTGCGAGGCAGAAATTTTTATTCTCTTCTCTTTCTGCTCGGTGAGAGATCAGACGAGAGGGAACCTTTGCTCACAGCCGCTCGAATTCCTGTCATGCATGGACGAACGTCGACAGCTTGTTCCTTCGTCGGCTTAGTCATGCGAGACTTTTGTACGCAATCAAACTTTTAGTTAACTTATTTTTGGCGAATTACTAAATTGCGGCTTTTCCACAGTTTATTTGTTAGAGAAACTGCAGAAATTCTGTAAAATTCTTGTGGCCAAGCAAAAAAGCAGTTTGAAGAGTCATCTAATGCTAACAGTGTAGCAGAAGTCATATTGGAAACTGATTACAGAGACTAAGAGGTGCACATAAAGACAGAATATCTGATCATGAGAATCAGTATTTAGAGAACTATACAAGGTGGAAGCCACTAGAACAGCTCACGTTGACTCTGCAGAAAATAATTTTATTCCAAACAACTTGGTGATATTTAATTCAGTAGTTTTATATCACGCAGGCTAAGCAGAGAGTCTGGATGGGGTTTAAACATTAACCAAAAATGTATGAATATATAAGAAAATCAAAACCTTGCATTCTTCTTATGCTTATGCTTATGTCGCTGTTATGTCCAGTGAACACGTTGGTATAAGCATAAGCATAAGAATAAGTGAAAGACTTTTTTTTTCGAGAAGCGCGTGTACACGTTTGTGTGCGTGCATGCTGTATGTATTTTTTTTTTTTCATCATCTCCTATAATCTACAGGTCCACTTCAGCCTTTGGTTGTCTAATATAGTATTATAACACTATGTACCAAAACCTGCGTTGGCAATAAAGGATTGATTGATTGATTGATTGATTGATTGATTGATTGGTTGGTTGGTTGGTTGTGTTGATTGTGTTGATCGATCGATTGTTTGATTGATTGATTGATTGATTGATTAATTTAATTTATTCAATTTTCACTGCGATTATATAACAAAGAGCAAAAATTATACACGATATTACAAAATAATAATAATATTAATAATAATTGCAATAACCACACTAATAAAAAAATTCTTAGTACATAACAAGGCAGTGAGGAAGACTAGAAGGAAACTGATGAACCATACGTGCTAGTCAACCCATTATGGAAATAAAATGTATGAATATATAAAAGCTTAATCATTTAACAAGCAATTTATTACCTATCTACTAACTACCTAACTAACTAAATAACAATCTAACTAGCTAACTGGCTAAGTAACATCCTCACTAACTAACTGCTGATGTTAGCCCAGGTGGTATAGGGGCGCTCAGCGTCGAAACCCTTATCTTTATAAAAAATAGTACAGAATCTCTTAAAAGAAGAAACACTAGAGTTGGCAGTCCTCAATTCATCGGGCAAATTGTTCCACAAATACGGAATCCTGTTATAAAAGGCTCCCTTGCAACTTACGATCGATTCCCTTATGATTGATTGATTGGTTGGTTGATTGGTTGGTTGGTTGGTTGATTGATTGATTGTTTTCCAGACCTATTTGAAAACATTGACAGTAGAATCTCACTCTCTTTCCAATCTTTGAGACTCTTGAGAACTCTCTAGCTAGTATTCATATGTTGCATTTAGCCTGTGCCAGAGGTAATCATAGGCTGTTATCGGAGGGTACTTCTCAGACCCATCAAGGCATTTAATGACCGTGTCATCCTCTGGGTGGACAAAAAAAGCCAGAGAACGTCTAGGGACACGCCTGTGACACTCCTCTGGTGGAACTGAAACACGGTGGCGCTGAAAACGCAAGAAAAATGAAACGTTCTACGTTAACTACAATGCCAGAAAGCTGACGTGGAAGCAAGGGTACGAGGTGCAACATGGCAATTAATGAAACTTCACTGACTTTCCTTTTCACCTTGCTAAAGAGTACACTAGATTTTAAGATAGCAAAAAAATTGTAAAATGGGATGCCTATAGAATTACCAGCCAGTGATATGTTACATAAGCAATAATTCCATCTCCTTATGGTATCCCCTCTCTCGGCAGTATTAGGGTGCAATAGAGCACTTTTCACCGCGGTAACACGCTGGGACTTGTGTTCATAACATGAATTTCTTTTCTATAATATCGAACCTAATAAAGGAGTTGGTACGGTTAATAATGGCTGCAAAGTTCTCCTTTGAGAGAAAAATCCAGACATCTCTTGAAACAAGCTCTAAAATCAAGCAAGCCCAGGAAATAGTGGGAGGCTGGCTTTATGAAGTTAAGTGGAGGGAGATTGTGGAGAACGTAAGCAGAATGGACGTTGTTAAAAGAGCAAGTTAATTTGAATTTAGCTCCTCAAAGCAAATTTCAAACTGCCTTCTTACTGTTGACTTCAGCAGGTCAGCGGTCCACCTCTGCATGAGGTCTGCAACATTCACAACTATTGCTCCAGGGATGGGTGGGGCAGGTATGTATTCTGTACAACCAAGTGGTAAGACCTGATAAGGGAGAAAAAAAAAAACCTTCAATTGATACATTTTTTGTGAAAACAGCGGTTTGTGTTTACATTTACAGAAATTGTCCACTGTAGCCTCCTTAATGCAGAAGTTCTTCAGGGTCAGGGCCAAAAGAGCATCTGTATAGGGGATAACAGATTGCTCCAACTGGATGGCCAATTCTGATAATACATGAAGTGTCATGTTGAGGCCCCTCGGAGAGGTTTTATAGGGAAGACTCTGCCCTGAGGTCCAAACTCTTATACCCATATAAAATACTACATTTGACACAAAAAGTTCTTTTGAATATGTAACCCTTTCACACACCTGCAGTTGACCCTGCAACAACAATCCTTTTGTACACCCTTGGATCACTGAGTAACCCCTTAAAAAATATTTGCTTGAATTACCTGATACATTGCACGTGCTCGAGATATTTTGACAAGGCCTTTTAACACCTTAATGACAAATTTGTCTACACTTTTCTAAATCCCTTTGGGCAGGACCTTACTGTATGGTCCATGGCAGAGAGTATCCCCAGGCAGTCATCAAGACATCAGGTGATCATCTACAATGTTAATGGGACTATTGGACATATAACAGGGTTCGTACCCTTTTTCAGAAACAAATTTCCAGGACTTTTCCAGGACTTTTCCAGGACTCAGATTGATTTTTCCAGGACTCTAAAATTCACATTAACCCTTTCACTCCCAAGATCTCAATGCTAATTCTCTGTACTGTCTGTCATACATTTCAAATTTTTTACTTGAGTTTAACAGATTTCCAGAACTTTCCAGGACCAGTAGCCTTTTTTCAGGACTTTCCAGTCCTGGAAAATGCCACAACAAAATTTTAGGACTTTCCAGGTTTTCCAGGACCCGTACGAACCCTGATATAAGCTGACGTCCAATCAAGTTTAAAAGTAGTGGGGTGATCTCTGAAAATCTTCATAGGATTTCAGATCCCCTTGGAAAATCTTTGGAATAGTAATCATAGAGGTTCTTTGGATGATATCGTGGAATATTTGGAGTACCTTTGGTCACAAAGAGCAAAAATTAACACGTAACACCCCTGCCTAACCAATCCTGATTCAGTAGTTTTACCCTTGATGACACAAAAAAGAAAAACATTTATGTTAACCTCCAGTCCCGGCATATCATCCTGAAAGAGCAGAGTGATCGAACCATAGTCAGTATGCTCTCCACAGCGAATCTGCCCTGGTTTTATTATCGAGTCTTCTGAGATGCCTGGATAGTGCAACAATCGTAAAGTAGTACAGTTCTTTGTACTTGCCATAATCTTGTGAGTGCTTGTAAAAACACCTGGATCCTAGTATAGGATGCATTTTATACTGTAAAAGCAATCAGTCACTCATGGCAATGGTATATTACACATCAGCTTAGATTTACAAAGTTAGTTAAAAGGATAATTTAAAAAAAAATAATCAAATTCAGAATTTGATGTAACTTAGAAATGTTTGGCTCTAAAGATTCATTAATTAAAAGGATGCTCAAAAGATCTCTGCAAGAAATCCTAGACGATCTTCAAAGATCTTGGCAAGATCTTTGAGCAAGAACCTTGAGGATTCTAGAAGGTACCAACTAGGAATCTCAATAAGATCCTCAAAGACCCTACTGAGAAATGTGAAGACCCTTGAAGATCAGTAGAGATGCTGGCAAGAATATTAAATATCTCTGAGGATCTTGGCAACAATTTTTAACATAAAATCCCTCTTGATGGGATCCTTGAGGATCTCAATGAATATCTTAGAAGATACCGAATGAAGATCAATCTTCAAAAGATTCACCAACGCAGCATTCTCATAACTTTCATGTATGGCCTACAATGGATGTTTTGGTCTTGCTGGAACTAAAAGGAAAGAAAGGTGCAAGATCCACTTGACAATGACATCTGAAATGTGTTGGTTGATCTGTTCTGAGCTCTCATGAATGGAAAACATCTAGAAAAAGATCTATCCATAGATGTCATGGACAATGGTTGTACCTCAAGTTGCAATCCAATTGCCATGACGTGGAGAATTCTCAAAGACAAGTCACCACAAAGGTCAAAAAATGAGGCAATCTCACTTTGAAAATTTGTCACCTTGTCATCTGGCCATGCCTGTAATTAAAACCATGCAGTCATATATAAATTGGTAGGAATACACTGAAATAAAATAATTGTATTTTAACAATGAATGTTGATACACAGTCACAGGTGTGTCTGCATAACAGAACATAACTTTAACCAAGTTTAATTCAGAGTCCTTACTGTTAGTTATGGACCAAGTTCTTCCCCCTTCAATCAACGGCCCAAGTGCAGAGCACACAAGCCGTAAGTCGAAGGGAAAAACAAAGAGAATCTGTATCTTACAGTGTGGATTGAGAAAACAAGGTTAGTAATGAAGATATTTATTATAATTATCTCTACTGTGTGTCTGATGGGTTCAGGAAATGATTTCTAGTTTAACTAAGTAAGTAAATAAGTAAGTATAAGTAAGTTTAAGTAACTTTATTTTACCAGGGTAGCCCATTCAGCAATGAGGCTGGTATCTAGGGACCCTGGGATATAGTCATGTGAACAGCTCAAAATGACTGGCACAAGTTGAAAGTAAAATGGCTCAATTCAAAATCACCATTAAGTCATAAAATAGCATAAAGTATTAAACTTTAATTTGCCATGAAAGTTAAGAACACTTGGTAATAAATCTTAGCTTTAAGTTTTAGCATATTTTACACATTAGATTGCTTTACATTACACAATCACAGCACTCTAATAAGGACATAGCTAGTATTGACTATTCCTTTTAACCATTAAGTCATAAAATAGCATAAAGTATTAAACTTTAATTTGCCATGAAAGTTAAGAACATTTGGTAATAAATCTTAGCTTTAAGTTTTAGCATATTTTACACATTAGATTGCTTTACATTACACAATCACAGCACTCTAATAAGGACATAGCTAGTATTGACTATTCCTTTTCTGTTGATCATGATTGATACTTGCCTGGATACCTTATTACACCTAAATCAGATTGATATCTGCCTTGATGAATCAGTACAGCTCAAAACTTTATGATTCAAATTATTACTGTCTATAATAATTATTATAATGAGAAAAACTTACACGCAGGTCATTTTGTGGCTCTGTAATGTTAAAAGCTTCCTTGTGATCAGCTGGTCGGTCTGAGCAAACTCTGCCAACATTGAGAAAAAGTCGATTCGACGTATTGACCAACGTATCAACTGATACTCGACTGATACCTAACTGATACCCATCTGACACTTAACTGACATTTGACCAACTGTCAGCCAACATATTGGCATAGCCGATATTAGCCATGTATTGGTTGACACTTGGGCGATACAAGGCTGATACTTGGCTGACGTATCAGCCAACTGTCAGTCGGTATATCGGTTGATAGTATCAACCGACTCCAGCTACCTGTAGCTACAGTAAACATAATCCAAAACATTGTGGCTGCAGTCCAAAAAAAAGGATTGTGGTTCATAATCAAAGAATTGTTACTATCAGGTCAGAGGTATTGCACGATGACCCTAATAACTGCTGCAAAGGTCAGGCTAGTAATTGATCAGCTCACCTTTCTCTTTCAAAGGCCACCCATCCATGTCCACTCCCACTTCTAGGACGGGCATATTTTTGCTTAACAGCAGAATCCAGTTTAAAAAATTCATCACACAACTTAAAAATTCTGTCAATCTACAAAACACAATTATGGTTTTGGTCAATAAGCATCTCCAAAACAAAGCCATGGACAAAAGTGCGGCCTTACAGATAAGAGGTCCTTGCGAAGTCTAACTACCTAACACTGATGCCCCCCTGGGGGAGGTACTCCCTATAATGGCTTATATGGAGAGCTCCACCTAAAAGGGGTGCCTTTCTCAGGCTTCAGATTTATAAAAGGGTAGGGAATTAACAAATTGAGATATATGAAAGGGTAGGGAAATCTGCCATTCAGTTATTTGAAAAAGCCTTTAATTAAAATATTTTGGCTAGATCAGTTAAAGGTTTACAAAAGTGGTACTTTTTTCTGTCAAAATGGTATACAAAAGGGTAAGGAGTTGGACCTCGGGGCAGAGCCTCCCCGTATTAAACTTGGTAGAGTAGCTGCCAGAACTGATGCACAGGAACATTCTAAACCAAGCACCAGCTAATAGGAGACACATATCAATGTATGGAACTAATACACCTACTCACACACCCGGAGACTAAACTCCTACCCAACCATAAGGATATGAGAAGTTAGTTACATATGTTTGAAAAAGTCACCCTGAAATTTCAGGGCTTTCTCCCAAAGTTTGGAAATTACAGGCGATGTACAGCTATTGATTTGCAATTGTTGATATATATATTACCTCTAATAAAAATTTTTCACTCTCCTGATTCCACAATTTGTTAAGATTTTATTTATTTGTTTTTAATCTTATCACCTTTTTTACAAACATTCCTGGATACACCCTTGAGGGACCCAGTATAAAAAAGACCAGGGTACTCATCATACCTTTTAGGGGTTAAAAAGCAGTTTTGGTACCTCTACGGGTGTTCAGCCCAGAAAGGCCCACAGGAGGAGCTTTGGCGGCACCTTTTACGGTATTGAACTGAAAAAAAATGACAGGAATTGTGCTGATTTGGAATTGGCACCTCTTAGGGGTGAAAAAAATTCAAGCCACGCCCACAAAACAGGATCTTGGTACCTCTTAGGGGTTCTTTTCAAAATTTGTGACGAGCACCCCCATCCTTTTTATATGGGACTTCCTCCCCACCGGGGCATGGACCCCAAGGGAAAATGTTGGCACACATTATGGCCCAAATCATCAGTAATATTCGAGTTGACATTGAAGAGGCTGTTACCTTTCCTTGCGAAATACCATGATTTTTAAGGTAAACGAAACCCACAGTACTGAACGCCTGGTGTATTTCATCTGCCAGTTGTTTGATTGCTGCAGACGAGCAGTCTTCATGAGTCCCCTTCAACGAGTTCATGGCGCTGAAGTCCACCACTGGTATGTTGTCCATGGCAAACAAAACCTCTGAGAACTTCAGACTTGGAATCAGTGCAAAGGCTTTTTAAAGCCAGTGTTCAAAATAACCGGTTTTCCTTAGCAAAAACTGCTACTAAATACTACTGACTGCCCATACGGCCTACGGTTGTCTGGAAAACCCGGATAGCGAATAGCGAATAGTCCCGAATAGTGCGAATAGTCTCGAATAGAGCGAATTGTCTCGAATAGAGCGAATAGTAGCGAACAGTCGCGAAAAGTGGAGAATATGCAGACATATGCAGACACCCACACGGCCTACTGTTCGAGACGACAACGGCTGCGTCATGTAAGAGCAGTGAGGCATCCCCGAGTCACGCAACAGCTGAAATCTGTGAAAAGCTGACTACCAATATTTCAAAATGCTTCCGTATTTAGCTAGACACGTCGACACTCAGCTTCCAAGCAGGTAGAAAAACTATTTTGCATAAATATATAATCAGATAAATTATACGATTGTGGTCTTTAAATGGCTCTCAAAGCCGAGCCCACTCATCCTTTGGCATTTTGTTTTCGTAAGATTGCAAATGCCCCCACTTAGGCCGGGCAGCTGGTGCAAACATAATCCCCACTATGAGGTGCAAATGCCCTACCCATGGGATAGCGTCAAAAATATATTTTCTCGCACGTGAGTGGGGCAGGATCGAGTTTCCAGCGGGTTAAATCTCAGAAAAAGAAATTAAATCAACGTAGGGTTTTAATTAAATCCTTTTGATGTTTTCAAAAATAAAGTAGGCTTCAGTTTTTAAAAAGTTAACTGATGCATAATTGTGTTTGACTAAATTGTCAAATGCCCTACCCCCAGGCAGGCCTACAACCTGTCAAATGTCCAGGGGGATGAAGGGGCTTGAAATTGACAGAGCCATAAATTATATTAGCCCAAACCATAAACCTACTTCCAGGGATTTAAGGGGCAGATCTTTGGACGTTTGGAGAAACCTGCAAGGAAAACACTCCAGACATTTGAAAACACTCCCTTGCAGCTAGTGTTTTCTACATTTCCCTTGTGTTCTCAAATGTCCGTCATGTTTTATTACAGTGTAATGCACAGCTTAGGCTTCTTTATTTGTTAAATAATCCATCAAATATTTTTGCTTGCTCATGATTGGTCTAAACATGTCACATGACCAAATATTCCCCGGTTAAAATTGGGGAATATCAGAGGATATTCCCCAAGTTTCAAATCCGCACATGTTGCAAAAAATTTGAAGGATATATACACAGTAGCCTGCATTTGGCACAAAAATATGCTCGGATATTTTTCCTTGGACATTATCATTCTGTTCCTTGAAGCTCACAGTTTTCCCACGTTCTCAGAAAACTGTTCGCTTCTTGGAACAGATAATGTCCGCAGACAAATACCTGAGCATATTTCCACACGAAATGGAGGCTATTGTTTATTTATTTCCCCACTATTGGAAACAACTGCATGGAACCTCAACCAAAATAACAAACAGAGGAACATATTCCTCCACACTGACAGCTATTTGAGACACAATAACGCTGTACACACTATACATTTTTTGTTTATTTGATAACGTTCCACAGTAACTGTAAGCAAATTAAAGAAGATGCGAGTGACAAAAGAAGCATAGGAAAAAAGTTCAAGATAATAATTAATTGTAAGTTGTACTTGACAAATCAACCATAAGCTAACCAGATTTTGAGCTGTTGTAGTCTCGTCAACAAGTTTGTTTTCTCTTTTAAGCAAGATTCAAAATTGTTATGGATTGAAGCTTATTTGAAGAAATGGTAATTGTTTTCTCATGTCTATCATAACATCAAAATAAACTAATTAAACTTGGATAAATTTTGAATTAAGAAAAATATTACAGTTAAAATTATTTTCTGTGCAAATGTTAAATGAAATATATATACAGACAAGTGGCAGCCAAATATTAAGTGAGCGGTCTTGCTGCGGTTACCATAGGTTACTGTAGCAAGTTTCTATGAGGTAATCAAGAGATACATGCATATATAAGGTGAAGAAATGGTGATCATTATTATGTACAATTTGCACAATTTTTATGTAGAATGTATGTGACAAAGTTAAATTCAGAATTAAACTGTTGTAATGTCTTAGTTCACAGGCATCCATTCATTGTCATTTGTTTGGTGGCAGGAAGAGTCGACAGATCCAGGTCATTGAAGTATGGATGATCCAGTGCGGCTTTAGCTGATATCCTTTTGGCAGGATTGTATACAAGCATTTGCTAGATGAAAAATAAAACACTTCATTAGCTACACATCCTCAAAGTAAGAGAATACATTTTAAAGCTGTAAAAGAGACAAAAAAAATAATAAATTACATTTTATATCTTACAAACACCTATGGCAAACTTGCTTGTTCTTTTACATCTTCTAAGTTCAGCATGCATCTACATTAGTGCAGATTTAAGACTAAAACATTGCCATATACATTATATTTTACAGTGTACCTCTAACAAATCAAGTCCATTGTTGTCCAGTTGAGGAACTGCTTTCCTCAGCCCTTCTCCACTCCATCTTGGAAAGTTTGGTTTATAGTCTGGCAGCTGGGATACTCCTGGCCAAGTCTTCTCTGTTGGAGTACCTAGGATTCTATGAAGTTCATACAGAATAATATACTGTACTTCCTTGTTTTCCAAATGCAAGTGAAATGATTACAAGGCAAGTGTAATGTGTGTCGTCTGCAGTTCTAGAAGTACACTGCATCAAGGCTTAATATAAACCAGATATATTCGTCTTGAGTGAACATACAATACTACTGTACAAAGATGCACAATTCATATATATGCAGGCTACTGTATAAAATATCATGTATTTAAAAAGGTACTAAACTACTTACTCTGAAACAAGACTTTCAACTTAAAGGTTACATATTTACTAAGTGGAATATGTAAAAACTAAAAGCTAAAGAAGGAACTGTTTGATTCTCTACCAACCTAAAAATACGGAAAAGTTGGTCAATTTCTGAATCTCCATGGAACAGTGGTTTCTTTGTAACCATCTCAGCAAATATACATCCTACACTCCAAATGTCCACAGGACAAGCATATCTTTGACATCCTAAGAGAACCTCAGGTGCACGATACCACAGGGTTACGACCTAAAATTATTGAAAATGCTATGGATAAATGTTATCTGTTAAGACTCTGTGGTACTGAGACAGTACATAATGTGGGATAATAATTATATTACTCTTAGTAAGGTTTTGGCAATCTTTGTTTGAACACTTCAAGGACCTTATAAAAGCATATATTAAGGTGATTCCTCAAAAATAAAAGTTACCAAACAATTCTTTTGAAACTTTCCCTGTTATTTCATCAGTTGACATTACATTTTGCAGTAGCTGGAAGCAAAGGTTATTATAAAGCAATACTTGATTTGAAACAAATCTTGATAGGCAAAAAGTCTCGGGCACTTGGAACAATGTGATATATAATTTTTGGAAAATCACACAATCCTAAATGACACTGACTCAAAATGTTCCTCCAGTCATTGTTTTAGAGGTCATAAGTTGCATCCTTGAGTAACGGTTTTGTGCACTCTTTTAGTTAACTTTTTTCCTTGTGAAAGTATTTTTCTTGATTTTTTTACTCAAAGAGGATAATTTTTACACCAAATTTATGTAATAAAAAATATAGGTCACCATGCTCGTTTGAGAGAAAATGAGCATTTATTTCACTATCAAGCTTAGCTTGAGGGAAATCTCTTAGTTATGTTGTTTAAGTGCACGCACTGAGAACACTGCAGAAGACAAATGTATGTCGAGTAGACTACTATTAATTTTTCCAAAGATTTACAGCCAGTTCATGTATAGTACAATGTCAATGAGGATACAGTGTACACATCAGAGTTGCAGAGTCACTGGCACTTGCTCCCCAATTTGCTAAACATGTTCAGTTTTCTTATCGATTTCTTACCTCATGAGTGTAAGCCCTAACTGGGATTCCAAATGCCCTCCCAAGCCCAAAATCAGCTAACTTGATTAGTCCTTGCTCGTCAATCAACAGGTTCTGGGGTTTCAAATCACGATGCAAAATTCGACGACTATGGCAAAAGTACATCGCATTCGTGATTTGATAGAGGTAGCTCTGTAGAGAAAGCAGCATTAGATAAAGGTAAAGAGATATTGAAGAATTCCAAAAGTAACAGCTCCCGTTACTTTCGGATTTAGGAGTCAAAGGGGGCGTTACTTTTGGATGGTTGAAAAACGTTTGTACATAACAGTCGTTTCAGACAGAGCGGACACGTAACACAAGAAATTAAACGTTTCACTTCTGTATGTTTCCAACTACCCTCAGAAACAAAGCAGACAGTATAAACCAAAAAAGGCCCTAAACCAGTTGGAACTGTATAGTGAATGTATAATGGGCGCATTATATCGCAATGCAACTGATTACCCTACAGTTTATCATTTGACTCTTCTGCTAGACAAATACAGCTTATAAATCATAGTTTCAAGAAACATTTAGTCAAGTTTGAAATAAAATCACAGATAACTTTTCCAGTCAATGTTCAGTCCTGCAGTCAGGTTGTTCCATCCGCATGACCCGCACTTGAGAACAGAGACTTTCTATCTTAGTGACTTCTTCAAAGGGCAACTACTTTTGGGGGGACTGTTATGTTCAGGGTTCAACAGGAAGGTAAAAAAATTAATGTTACTTTCAGGGAGCTGATATTTTTTGGGGGGAGGGGGGCCGTTACTTTCAGAATTCTGTGGCACTCTGACAACACAATTATGCCGATGTACAACATTTTGTTGTTCTCTTTCAGAAATAATCAACCACATACTTTTTTACCATTTAAGACATGCATTGTTTGCTTATTTCTAAGCTGCACTGTATATGCCATGCATATGAATTTGCTCCAGAAAGTGTCAATGTCTCTATTCCTCTCCCCCCACCCCTGCAGAAAAAAAAAACACCTCCAACCTCTGTGAAAATTCCATTTCAGCTTTAGATTAACCTTTAAAAATGTTTTGTCAACTCCAATCAAAATTTCTAATTACTATCTGTTGGGTTAGCATGGACATTTTCTGGAACTGCACAAATTCTAGTAAACAGATATGTACCTTGACTAACATATGATCTAAAAATCCCCGTGTTGAGTCCAAATGCTTCTTAAGGTCACACATGAGAAACTCAAACACCAAATACAACTTTGCTTCTTCGTGAAGAATGTGCTCTAAACTGACAACATTTGGATGATCTTTCAGTTCCCTGAGAAGTGAAATTTCTCGTACAGCTGTGCTTGGAATTCCTTCATCTGCTAACTCAAGTCGAATTTTCTTCAAGGCAACCAGCTTGTTGTTCTTCTTGTTGCGGCCTTTGTATACAACACCATAGGTGCCTGGACAGGAGAAAACATGTGAATATTTCAAGGATCAATTTTTATTAAAAATTCCAAAAAATCTACTTTGAGAGTCTTCCACAAAATTTAAGTAACAGTCCATGTAAGAAGGATAGTACCACACGGCAAGGAATGCCAAAAGGTGCTAACTTTTGCGCAACTTTGCTATTGTTGTATCATATTTCTGATTGGCTCAATCAGCAAAATCTACCAAAACTTCAAGTAGCTGTATATATATATTTAATTTTATTCGTAATTGATCAACTATCTTCCTTTCAACAAAATCTCCTCTGAGTCTAAATACCACAGTAATCCTATGTGGGGAACATTGGAAAGTTAGAAGCTTTTATTGTCTTTGTTTATGACTGTTGTGATTGGTTGAATGTTTTAACACAAAGGAAACTACCTTTCAAAATAGAGTTTAAATACATTTTATTCCATAAACCTGCTTTCCATCGATTGATACATTCTTTGTAGGAAAACACGACCATTTCAATGTGGGGAAAGCGTATTGCCACAGAACGATAGAAAATGCTACAGTTCTTATCTGGATCATTACTTAATAGATAACTTACACAGATCATCAATCATGGTCTGCATTATTTTATCTATAGGAACACCAAATAATTATTATTACTAAATAGCCCATATTAAGTGACAATTCCCATGAATTCTCAGGGTAAACATGTACAATGTTTTCCTATTATGCAAGCAACCAGGTATTTTGATTACTGAAATGTATCCATCATGGGTGATCAAACAATCCTAGAGTGTCTTGGGAATTTTTGGTGATTGTTCTTCCTGTTCTTGATTCTTCTATATTTTGTGGCCTACTGTAGCAAGAGTACAGACCTTTACATTGGTGTTTTTAGATTCATCCTAAATTATAGGTCATTATTTGGCAAGACAGTCTTGAGGTAAATTGCTAATTCATGGCCCAAGTGTCATATAATGAACTATTTACTAACCTAGAGCTTGCTTGAGCTCTAATAATTCATACTGGTGAATATTGGCCCTCAGTCATTTTTTACGGACCTCACTAGTCTGTACTGCCACACCCTTGGCCAAATATTCCCCAGTATGGACTTTGCGCTTGGTTAGTAAGAAGTGAATATTAATCTAAAAATAAAATACAGATAATTGTAACCTCTTTTGTTACCTTCTCCTATCTTTTCAATCTTAATGAAATCTTCCATCTTCATTTCTTCAACTTTGGAACTCATTCTGGTTTCTTTGTAGTATCTGAAACTGTGTATGGACTTACCTGAAAAAGGTAATAAAAAACAAATTAGAATACTCCAACAACAACCCTATTTCTGCTGGGAACCATTAGTTTTTATTGTCTTTGAATTTTACCACCACTGTTTGTAACCACACTAACCCACAGCAAGTAAAATAAAGTAGAAAAACGTGAAAGCTTAGGCTCACAAGCACCTTACAGATGCTTAGGTAGTTTGCTGACCATTTGCCTGTCTGCCAATGATCATGCATAATATGATCTTCAGAGAACATAGTGCCTCCAAATTGTTTTTGCCATTAGTAGTAAAATAAAATATTGACATGAAAATATGGAAACTAAAGTTCTCTTACATTTCAAATGCATGAATCTCCTGATTTTCTTTATAGTTTGGACTAACATGATTAAGAACAGCACCACAGATTGTATCCACCATAAATTAAATTTGATATTGAAAAATTGATGAACAATAATAAGCTTACTTCGAAAGGCTGAATGGGCTACAGTAAAAACCCGCATATAAGAACCTAGATTTTTCCAACTTAGCTTAAACAGGTTCTTATAGAAATGGTATTTGGTGGGATTTTAGGCTACTTAGGTTTTTAAATAGGTTCTTAGTTTGATAGGGGCACCATCGATCAGCACAGATAACTACTACAGGCCACATGTGATAAGGAATAGGTATAGTGCTGTATGAAATAACCAGTATTGGCAAAGACATGATACGGTTTTCATTTTAGTTCATTCTTTGAATCTTACC